TGAAGAGATATGATTTTGTATGTGGAAACATATCAATGAGCTGTTGTTGTATTGTTGTATTGACATGAATTGACGAGTCGAGTCGAGAGTGAGCTGCTGCTGCTGCTGCTGCTACTACTACTGCTGCTGCAGTGTGTTACTGCTTACTCTAAAGAAGTAGTAACAGCTAGAAAACAAATGTGTATAGATAGCATTGGTGGTGCTACGATGCTCTCCTATCACGAAATATGACGAAACGAGCAGTCAGTTCGAAGAATGTATTCGATAGTTTATAACTGAATCATTATCATTTTTATTCACACTCTACTATTACTAGCGCTAACAGAATTACTACGAATACTCGTCATATTGTTGTTGTTGCATGTTATTCTTGTTCATGTTCAAGTTAGTTAGAGGTTGTTTCTGAATAAAGTTACAAGCGATAGATGCGATAATGGCACTGAATTTTCGGATTTGTGAATTGTGAATTGAAGAGCTCGGGGAGGAAGCGAGATAGATGAATGAGTAAATGATTGAATAGATAATTACGGCGAACGATTTGAAGAGGATTTGTCATCAGTGATACATCCGACGTCGCATCTCGATGCCACTAGGAAAGTTTGTTATTACTATTATGATGAATGAGATGAGCATTTACACGCGTATATCTCATTCAATCTCCATTTAATTAATTCGCCTCTCATTAGCTATGCTAGTCAACTAACCAACAAACTTCTGTTATTATCATTCATACATCCTAAAAGGGATGACGATACGCGTTTTAATGCGAATTCATTAATGGAGAATAAATGGATGGTTAAAGTGAACATTCACCTTTGTTAAAATATCAATTTATGCATCATCTACTTGGAATTTTGATAGAGCCGGAAATTAATGTATAATCCTTAAACCCGAGAATACCTTATATCATTTATAAATCCTGAAGGGCTCGATATATCTTTTGAGGATTTTCTCGGTGCGTTCAGGTTATCACAACAACCGTTCCAGTCAATTTGCAGGATGTCAAACAGATTTTCCTTCATTCCTTTCCTTCCGACGAATAACTTAGCATTCGTATAGCTCATTAAGCTTTGTGACTTTCTTTCTTACATAGAAAGAAATAGAAGGAGATTACTCATCGTCAGCTTTCTTGAAATGAAGAGTGCATACAAAGGAATGAAGGTGTTCAGGTCGAGTAAAGGTATTAAGACATTTTTAAGTACTGCTTTAAAAAAAACTGAAGCACTTGAATGATTTCAGTGGAATGAACGTGACGAAACGTCTGTTGTCTCTGANGATACTTCAAGATTCCGAATAATTTGAGATGAGTGGATGAGAAAATGAAATTATAAAATACATATGTGCTTCTATGCTCCGTTAAATGAGAAATTTCAAAATTTTAGTCCCATTGCGTGATATTACCTCTACTCTCATCACATTCGCTGGTTTTTGTTTATGTCTTCGCATTTATGATTATAAATTCATCTTATGAAACAGCATTAGATTCGGGCCGAACATTCAATTTTCCCCCTTAGTTCTGCAAACAATCACCTAGGGCAGGCAAACGTAAAAATCGAATTTATCTCAAAACCAGACCCTCTACTTGTTCCAAAAAGATTGCTGGCTGGATACGACTGAACGTTTGAGAGATGAACAACATTTTAAAAGAAAATAGTTTATCCAAATGAAATGAAATGGACTTTTAAAAATTATAACATTGAAATAGTATGCGATGTTATATTGCAATGATCCAAAATAATCACCTCAAGTTCAGGAGAAAATATAAATTTCATAAACGAATAATATACAATAATAAGAACTAGTTTGTTCTTAGTGGGACATAAGCAAATGCGATTACACATATCATTCAACTGAAAGTTAACTATAGAAACTTTCAGGGACATATTTGAAAAATAAAATAAAATATAAAGTGAAAAGAACCACGCTTAATGATTCATATCTTTAGGATTCATTACATTTAAAAATAAACGAAAAGAATGAGACGTTGTCATTACTGTCGTTATCATGAATGTAGAGTTACCAATATCGCCATATACGGCTAGAACCAATCATTTACAGTCTAAAGTGAACGGAATGAACGTAGCAAAATGAAGAAGTTGCACAGACTTGAGAATATACATTGCGATTAATATGAAGAGAGAGCGATGCTCAAACACAGTTGATTAAAAATAAAAAGGAAGCAATGAAATCATAAAGAAAGCGAAAAATGCATATCACTCTCAATAGCTGATAAACGCATAAGTGCGTCATTCAATTAGTCATATCTACTTCGCATTTTTCTTCTTCAATTGATCGAAACGTTTCGCTAAATCTTCAAAGTCCAATTCATCCTCTGGTGGATGAGGCGCATTCCCACCGGATGCTGCTCCACCACTTCCTCTTGGCGCCGGTGGTTGGTATGGTGAAGCTGAATTGAACGGTGAATCTGATGGTGGTTCTGGGAAGTCGATTTCATCTGGAGGTGGCACTTTTGGGGGGAGTGGGCCGGCAAATGCGGGTGGAGCACTCGGATAGCTACCGGCTGGACTGTTTGAAGAGGGTGGTTTGAATTTGGTTATATCATCGGATGCCGTATCATCCACTGGTGCACTGATCTGAATTTGGAACACAATAAAAGCGTAATGCATTTTTATAATAGATGTGAAAGTGAAACTATACCACATCATTCATTTTTTAGTTATCGACATTCAAGTCAACTGATTTATAATTCAACACTTAAAAATGAATCGACAACAACAGTAGCAGCAATAAGCACAACAATCACATCAATAAATAAACAGACCAATGGATGAATCAACCCGAACCTGACTGAGATGCGGATAATTAAATGGAACAGACTTTGCAGCTGCATTCATGTCGGGACCCGGAGTAGGTACGTGTGGTAAAGGAGCCTTGAAACCACCTCCATAGTCATTCCCGCCGTAACCTGGCGGAGGAGGCGGCGGTCCTGGATAGTAACCTTAAAATTCGGAATCCATTTGATTATTCTAAATATGACAGAACATCAGTTCTAGAACGATGTACCGAATCCATCTTGAAAACGATACCGAAACAATTAAAACTAGATTAAAATGACTAACCAGATCCACCGTTTCCACCTGGTGGAGGAGGGGGTGGCAACGGATTGTTATTCGAACCACCACCACCTTGTGGTCCTTCACCCGGCGGATACATCCAACCGTAGCCTTGCTGAAAGTTGTTTGTGGTTTGCCTTAGAAAAAANAAACTAACTCCTCCTTGATTTTTGAAGTCGATCAACATTTGCTCAGCGGCTGCCACTTCATCTTCGCGCATCACATCCGGATCCGGTGTGAACGGTATACCTGCACATTTTGCAATTTCGATCATATATCTGAAACATATCAACAACATTTGCGATAAGAGCGAAGCTCACGATCACGCAACAAATGTTACGTGAAATAAAAAGTCGAACTGAACCTTTCCACGAGTAATTTCGGTGGTGCATGCACACTCAGCTTCGCAATCAGCTTCGGTGCCACCTTTGCTGGATACTCCAACTGATTACTGCGAGCTGTTTCTGCGAACGGTTTGCCATATTTCAGCGTTAATTGATCACTGATCACCTGACAACACAAACATCACAACTACATTATATTATTCCTTGAACAGACAATATATTGGCTATAAGAAACCAATGACAATATGGTGAAAATACACGATAATAACCTTGAATTCTGATATATCAGTTGCGACTCTTGGTGCGGCCCATAGGATACTGATTACCGCTTCTGCGATACCATCATCCAGTTCCCTGAATAAAATTTATTACTTGGATAAGGCAATGAAATGATTCTACCATATTGAAAATACTGACAATAATAGCGCAAAAACAACTGGAATGACCTACTTCATCTGTTGTATAAGCCCGAATCTGGCCAACAATAAATCACAGTACATCTCCAATAATTCGTATGCTTCAACCAAAAAATCTTCACGTATTATATGCTCAACACGAATTCGAGCTCTGTCTTCTTTGTGCTCTGAAATAGCATTCATTCAACAATCACATCCAATCCTGGATAAATTATTCAGGTATGTAACTTAAAATGGACTAATAGAGTAGTAACTAACCAGCAATGAAATCGGCGATTTCTCCACGTGATTTCAACGCCATCTCAGTCTTCTTCTTCTCCATCATTTTCAGACGATTTATCGCTAAACGAAGATTCGTCTTCAGTTTCGCGTACTGAGTACCCCAACTGATCGACATTTTCCTTCTCCTTAATTATATGTGCTTTAAATAATTATAGAGAACAATTGGCTTAAACGAAAAGCGTGGAATTAAGATATTATATTGAATAAGAAATGACTACGTTATTCAAAAAACTCTNAACAGCTTATATTACACTGAATATCAATCAACAACGCGCTGACACTTGAGTGACTCATCAATGAAGCAGTTGTTCACATGATGCTATCACCTTTGATAAGGCAGACAAATATATAACCGATTTTCAGGCGCTCGTACACGAATATCATAAATTGGTTAACCATACTGATGGACATCATGCAACTGGTATTAACATCGTGAGCTAACCGAGTGAAACTCGGCTATCTCAAGAATGTAATTAATCAATTTACAACCTGTTTTTTATTCAAATATCCAAATCGAAAATATACAACTACTTGCCAAATGAGCAACTGAGCATTTCGCTACAGCTTAGAACTCTCCGTATTCCTGCTGCTGGATTGCCTGCGCCCTGGCATCCCAGCGGATAGAAATGCGCATTGTTAACACTGTGAATGTTTCTTCGAACACCAAGAAAGCTTCAGCATTCCATCTAGTCGTCTATTCATTGTAACTGACCAATATAAGCAGTTTGAAATGCCTGATTGTGAGAACCTAATCAGTCTTCGGTTGGCATATTGCTCGGATTTCTAAACGAAGATACTTCTGGGTTTTGAATTGGATTGTGGAGTTTTGAATTGAATATGCTGGAACTGAAGTCTTCCCCGAGAACATATATGCTATTTGGATAATGGGAATAAAGCTTGTAACTGTGGAACTATAAAAATATTCGGTTCGTGAAAACAGTTGAAAGTGGTTTTACTGTGCACAGAGTCAGTTGAATTGCAGTGGCGATGTGTCCAAATTTTGAATCGTTATTTGAAAATTCAAACCATCTCCAATCATTCATTCAAATTCGTCGATAATTGGTTGAAGTTCAATCGTAGCATCTCACTTTTATTGGACCATAAATTTTTTAAAGTTTATATACATTGACACTTGACTGATTGTATTCTTAATGTGGTAATCTTGTTGTTTCGGTCAAGGAGAAATCAGGTGTATGAACAACAAATAATCTAAGCCTACGACTAAAAATAGCTCGAATTCTACAAAACGCTCACTAAACAAAGCACAAACCGAACGTTCAAACAAAATTAACAATATAAGTAATTCCTCACAACGGCGTTTTGAATGTCTTAAAACTGGTTCAAATTGCTTTAATAAGCATCAAAATAAAGCATCTTAAAAATAAGAGATGCTTAAAAATAAAGTATAAAAAACAGTGTGAAAAATACAAATATAACACATCCATTCGGCACAATTCCCGCTAATTAATTAAAAAAATACAAGTAAAATAAAAGTGGATCGCTCGCGAATGACATCTCACGCCGACGC